GTTGTGATGAAACTCCCCAATATTAATACTCGCTGTATTTTGAAAACTGTTAATCTTACGCCCCTGTAATATACAACTTTTTTGTTCATTTATGATTGCTCTATCTCATGCTGAAGTAATGGCAGTCAAACTTCTTACACCCTGTATAAAGATACGCACCATTGACAAAATCAGCGGCACATCTTTGGATGTCGTGTATTACATTAAATATGGATTTGTCAGCTTTTTCTTCTAACAGTTTTGCTAATATTTTCGTGTGATTCAGAATATAAGGAAAATGTTGAATAACGTTTTTCTTTAAAAACAAAGGGGTCATCAAACGCCTGTCTCTTTTCCACTTGGGACCTAAAATAGTTTTATACAAGGTGTTACAAAAAATAGGTATGACATACTTTTTTGAGCGAAAATACTGGCACTTTCAATAATTGCTTTATAATATTTATTTATTAAGTAGCTTACCAGATCCAGATATTAAACCTTCTCCGTTGAATACCGCCATATATTTGTACATCTTATCTTTAGTAGTAAATTTCATGGACGACAGAATTTTCTAAAAGAAAATGTAGTACAGTGTTCATCGTTATTCTATTTTAGTTTGTAGAAAAGGTTTCTAATACCTCTGCTTGAACAACGTTAGTCACTACAAAGGCGAACTTCGGACCAAACCAAATCCTCATGGGGCTGGGGTATCTCGAAGACAAGTAAACCGCTCTCTCGAATAAATCTGAAAATGTATCAGTTTTTTACCATTTTTCCATTTGTACATATCATTAAACTAATATAATCAATATTTTTATAATTTTTATAATAATATAATACAGGGTGTTTTCTAAGTCCATGACATAGATTTAGCAAGTTCCATGGACTATTTTAGATTCTAATGTGGTAAAATTTATCAGTGTTTATACCTAGTGAGCCAATACTTTTATAGGGGGGAAGTCAATTTACATTAACAGTAGTAGTTTGTGGTCTAATAATTCTTTATTTCCAAGCAGTCTTCCTCTAATCTATTTTTTAAATTTATTCAGTTTATATTTCCATAAAAAAGTGCTGTATCATCTGCAAATTCCATTAACTTTCCTTTATTACTACGCTACTGATGTAGACATTAAAGAGTATAGGCTCTAAAACTGTTCCCTGTGGATCCCCCCCACCTTATTAAGACTGTTCACCACCCACTTTCACAATCTGATATCTATTTAAAAAATTTTCAAAAAATCGTCTCGGATATTTATATCTTCAATAATTTGCAAAAGGAGACGACTGTCACTGTCAAGTACCTTTGAATTTATAAATAAACGCAAACAGTGTATTATTTTCAGTTATAATATCACAAGAGCATAGAAAATATTCGATTATACTTCCGAGTCACGAGACGTATTCTGCGAAACACCACGACAGCGTAGCTGGAGTGGTGTTTTAAGGATATACGTCGAGTGAGGAGGTTAGTATAATCGAATATTTTCGTTTGCTCGAGTGGTATTCGATACGATTATATAATTCAGAGCTTGAACCGAAGCGTTCCATTTTTTTTTGACGTTTATTGACAAATGTTAAAACTATCGTTACCATGACATAGTTCACATTGTTGGAGGAGGCGAAACACCAAAACGGTTATACCACGTCGTCAAGAGTATAATCGCTTATCAATACATAGTAACTACGTAAAATTTGTAATTGCTATTGGCTAAATTTCTAATGAATTATATAATCAGTTATAATATCACAAGAGCATAGAAAATATTCGATTATACTTCCGAGTCACGAGACGTATTCTGCGAAACACCACGACAGCGTAGCTGGAGTGGTGTTTTAAGGATATACGTCGAGTGAGGAGGTTAGTATAATCGAATATTTTCGTTTGCTCGAGTGGTATTCGATACGATTATATAATTCAGAGCTTGAACCGAAGCGTTCCATTTTTTTTTGACGTTTATTGACAAATGTTAAAACTATCGTTACCATGACATAGTTCACATTGTTGGAGGAGGCGAAACACCAAAACGGTTATACCACGTCGTCAAGAGTATAATCGCTTATCAATACATAGTAACTACGTAAAATTTGTAATTGCTATTGGCTAAATTTCTAATGAATTATATAATCA